CAGGTCACGGGAGGTGGTCCTTCCCTCCACTCAACCCTGGTGAGGCCACATCTGGAGTGCTGGGTCCAGCCCTGGCCTCCCTGGTACAAGAGGGACATGGACATACCAGAGCAGTCCAGTGAAGCACTGCGAAGATGATGAAGGGATTGAAGCATCTGCAATACGAGGAGTGGCCAAGAGAGCTGTAATTGTTCAGCCTGGAGAAGAGGAGGCTCTGGGAGGATCTTACCAATGTGTACGGATACCTGACAGGAGGGATTTTAGAAGGAGATGGAGCCAGACTCTTCCAGTGGCATCCAGTGACAGGGAATGGGCACAAACTGAAATACAGGAAATTCCACTTTAAGATAAGAGAGAACTTGTTTTGCTGTGAAGGTGATTGCACACCAGGGCAGAAACAGACTATTGACATAGGAGTCCTCTTACCTAAGAGGCAGCAGATAGTAAGAACAACATGAAAATGGGAAACTGAACTGTTAGAGGCCAACTGGGCACTTGCAAAGACATAACTGATGCTGTGTCCTAGTGTACATTGTTATTGAGAAGGCATATGGCCAGCCCATCCTCCTGTGTGCAGACCCCACAGATCTAGTCAGGGTTTTGCCCATCATACCGTGAGAAAAACAGCAACCAAATTCTCAACGGTCAGACTGGAGGTCTATCTGTTCTTCTGCCTGACAGTGGCCAGCAGGAAATGCTCAGAGAAAGAACACAAGTAATAAAGCACATGGTGTGACTTCCCTAGCACACTCTCCCAGTTCCTATCAACCTGCAATTCAGGAATTTCTTGAGCTAGACTTTGTAGCCATATCAGTTTTCAGTAGCTCTTGAACTGTTCTTCCATGATTTTTTTTAAAGCACTTTGCATTCTGTGGCAATGACCTATATTGCTTAATTGTAAACAATATATAAAAAGTATTTTTATTTTAAATATTGCTTGATAACCTCACTGGACACACTGTATGTCTAGTACAGTGAGAAATATGAATAAATGCACCCTCTTCACATTACTTACCATTTGTAAGATCTACTGTGCAACTTCCTTTCCACATCGGAGGGTCTGTAGTAATCCTCCAACAGGCAGCTTCCTTTAATTACTCAAATTTTATCAAGACTGACTTGTCAGGGGTATTCCAAGGACCTTTCTGTCAATATGGCAATGCTGAGTGTGCACAAAAGCCACTTGCACACAATTGGCAGAGCAATGCAAGCATGGAAGATTTGAAATGCAAGCACGAAAGATTTATGTATCATGAATTACCTCTGGAGTACTTCCAGGCACTTTGAATCACCACCAGAAAAATCACTTGCATCAAAGCAGGATGGGCCAGGCAGATGTACAGCACAAGAATCTTGTGGAACTCTATGCTGATTTCGATATAGCAAACCCACATACTACCAGCACAAGGAGCATAAAGACAAACGTGATCGGTATCCTTTGCTGGTACGGAGACCCAGGTCACCAGCTGCTACTGTGTACCATTACCATGTATATATGCTACCTCGATTCCCACAAGAAGGTGGGCAATTAGGAAATAACATTTGAGTGCAAATCTGGGCTTCTGAAAGCAAGAGAGTCCTCAGTGTGCAGGAAACCGAACCTGTGTTCAAATCCCTCTCTCATTCTGAGGCTGCACACACCAGGGGGGAAGGATTTGGCAAATTTTGTATGGCAGAGTCTTGGGAGACGTGAGCAGCTTTTTAAACATTTCCAGGGTGCCTGGGGTTCAGTTTTTGAACAAACAAGCAGATGTGTCTGATCGGCCTTCCCAAAGCTCCTCTCCTCCCACCACTACTGTTGGAAAGCAGCCCCTCATTCCTGATTGCCGCCTTCTGTATTTTACTTATCTAAAAAGCACCAAATGAAATCAAGCATGTTAAACAGCCAGAAATTTATCATGCAAAATACAAAGCTCTGCAAAAACTTCAGACTGGGGAGACTATAATTAGGATAATTGAAATTGGAAAAAGGATCTGAAAAGATATTTAAAAAAAAAAAGTATTAAAAGGGATAGCTTGGCAGAAGGAAAATAGTTTACAGCTGCTAGTAACAATGGAAGTATTAGAGAGCGTAGGGAATATTTCAGTCTTTCAGAGCAAGTACTGCTTAAGGCCACAGACAAGGCAAGTGCTGGAGTACCAAGAAGGGGCCAGCACACAGACTACGAGAAGGCTCCTCGGTGCCCAAATGGAGGAGCTGTGCTCTTAATCCCTGCAACCGAATCCCAGGCCGTTACTAGTCCCTGATTTGATTTCCAAGAATTATATGTTTTTCGCAGTCTGCAGCACTCCAGACTAATAAGATTGGGACAGGAGGGAGCACTGACTACAACGCACAGCTCTTCACCAAGCTTGGAGGATCACGGTCTTCCTCAACGGGACAGATGGGGAGAAGAGGCTCCTGCCTTCCAGCTGCCTGTTTGTCCTGACAGAGACGTCAAGCATTTGCAGCCCAACTCGGAAACCTGTCCGTCCAGACGGACGCAGTGGCCTGTCACCAGCAGCTGGTGAGCCGGCTTCCTTGCTGCCGACCTTGCCTTTGGACCTGCAGGTTTGTCCATCTCGCTGACAGCCCCAGACAGCCATCTGCTGGGCAACTGCATCATAAACCAACCCAGAGCAGCATTTACAACCAGGATGATTATGCTTCAGTTCTCCCTAGCTTCCCGTGAGATTAGGAGCTCAACAAGATGCGTTTGTCAGGGCAGCTGGAATAGGCAGCGTTAAGCATCGGTGTCTGGAACTTTGAGAGAGGAGGTACAGAGTGTGCACACGGCTGTCCCTCCCCAGAAGTGTCAGTCTTTCTGGAATGCATAAGTAAAAGGGAAGGAAAAAAAATTCAGCTTTATAACACTTCTTAACCTGAAAGCTGCTTCTAAGCATCTCAGCCCAAGCACAGAAGTCAGAAAGGTGGCCAGAGCAGCTAGGGAACCAAAGCAGTACCGGAAGCACAGGGCCATAAAACCAGACCCGGTCATCTCAAACAAGGTTGGATTTAGCCTCAGTAAACCTAAAATTGTGTTTAAAACCATTCGAGAGGTTGACATCCTTTAACCACCACTTCTCTGAACCAGTAACTCTGTGTTCGTGCTTTAAGGATTTCATTCATCCATAGCGGCGGGGACTTTGCGAAGCAGGAGCAGCAGTAGGTTGCCAAGCAGTGAGGAATGGGGAAGTCCGCAGTGGGTAAGGCGGCAGCAAGAACATGGAGGCAGCTCCAAGCAACTGGTACTTTCCCACACCAGAGGCTACCGCATTGTTTTCACTCTGTAAAACACAAGAGGTGGACTCTGGGGAAGGTTCCCTTCTGGTCCTCCCAAAGAATTGGGAAGGAAAGCAGGATTCAAGACTTTTGCAGCACTTTTGGGTGGAAAGTTTTCAGGGCTGATCCTTCACCTGTAGAAAGCCAAGGTGAAGACTGTGTCCTTATGGTACAGATCCACAGAGCACATCAGACCAAGGACAAACTCTCAGCCTCCTTTCCTGTGGGCCATCAGGACAGATGCTTTCTCCATGCTCCCCTCTATCTGTGTCCAGGCCTCTCCCTGGAAAACATAAAATACTTTCCACAAGCAAGATGTGTTATTTAGTGTCTGGCTTTATAGTTAAAAACTTTCATCTGCCACACAGCACCTAACAGGACTTGTATGACAAACACGTGAAGTGCAGAACATTCATTTCCACGGCTCATGTCAGAAATCCAAAAGCTAAAAGGCAAGGGGTTAACAATGAAAGATAGCACAGCACAACTTATTTCCCAACAGCATCTCAGAATTAAGAATGGGAAAACTTTTGCAAAACTAAACATGCATGACCATGCAAAAAGTAAATGAACCAAAGCACACATTCTAGCCAAGCAGCAGCTAGCTTTATTGAGTTCCAATAACACCGCATCAAAACCAAAAGAAATTAAAGTTGCTTTTTGCTTCTTAGCATTAGTCATTTCTCAAGTGAAAACATGATTACGTTTAATAATATTAAGAGGAAACCAAGGAACAGGAGCAAGAAAAGTTAGACAAGACTGCAGAGCCAGTGTCCCCTTCATGTATCCCGCTTGTGTCAGAGAAATTGAATTCTTGGAAGTGCTGTTAAATTTTCTCAGGTCAATGTCAGGGATTGAATCCCAGGACACAGCATCTGATGAATCAAACATATCGTGGGTTGCTATGAACCATGCTGTACCTTTGAAGATATTTGGGATATCTTCAGTGGGACAGAAAGGGATTTCAGAGAAAAGTTCAGGATCAAACACATTTCCCCACCACCTGCCTCAGTAAAGCTTAGTACAAATGTTAAGCATAATTCATTTTCCCTCCCAGTTCCACAGAAAACATCAGTGTGCAAGATCCAATACGGTATCTGTAATACTCCTCAACCCACTGAAACGTAGCTCTGGCCTCCCCTGCTTAGTTCAGTGTTTGCTGCATTATATGCATGTAAAATTAAAACTACTCTCAACATAGAAATAGCCACAACTAAAAAACTACTAGAGATGAGAATGCAATCTGACATTGCTTTTAGATACTAGTATGTGCAGCTGCTAACTCATGCCCTGAGAGTTAAGTACACATGGCCCAACAATTATTTTAAGGAAGTTTTTCAGCATTAATAGCTACATATTTCTTCAGTAAATAAAGAATTACATTTTAAGAAGTGTCCCCTTCTTCCATGAGGAAGTACTTAAGGTAGCATGTGTAATAGTGACAGCTGTCTGTTAGTAGCATTACTGCTGTGGTACACTGGCTCAGAAGACAGGTGTATCACCTCTAACTCCTCATCAACTCTGTTTCAGAGCTACAGCTTACATTTCTGAACGGCACATAGCACCACCTAAAGAATGTGAGGAAGGCAAAAAGGTATTAGGCAGGCAATCATTCCTGAAACTTCAAGTGATCGTTCATTTATTCCTTTGAGGCAGACTTGCACTCTCTTCCTTCTCCTCTCTAATTTCCAAAGACTTCCTAGTCTTCATAGACCTGGTGCAATCCAGTTAAGAAACTTCATAGCAACTTCAAAACCAAGAAAACATGCCTGGAAAAGAGAGAACATACAGAACAAATGAGGATTCTAAAAACCTATTCCAAATAAGGTTTTTGAAATGCAGCACTATAAACACCTGACCGTGGCTGATGGGGGGGGGCAGGGGAAGGCTTGGATCAGAGGGAAGAATTCTATTATATCACTGCACACAAAGGACCTTCTACTCTGTTAGGCTTGTTATTTATTGAAGGGGAAGCCAGTCCAAACTTATCCACCCATTTCTGTATTCCACTGGTAGATGTACAATCAGACAAGAAATACTATCAGAATAAGTCAAAAAAGGGCTTTCATGAAAAGCTTTGAAGGAGGGTTTACTTTGTGTTCCCCCTAGATTGGGGTACATTTGTAGAACCTGGACATCAACAGCCAAAAATACCTGCAGTGACAAGAATCTCACTGAAATGGTACAACAATAAGCAGTCAGTCATCTCCTCTGCAGACTGCAAGTGTTCACTGTGAGCAGACAGGTCCCCAAAACCCATCCAGAATCGCAATTTACTTACCGCGTTAGCAGGAAATGCCCTGATCATTACAGCTGTGAAGCCCTTATACAGAGATGCAACTCCTTCCTCTCTGATAAGTTCTCTCAGCACATCTCTAAAGCCATTTGGGTATTTTCCTGGAGGAGCTGAAAGGGATAAAAAACACATTAGCTAAGATGTGTGGCAACAGCAAATGCTGAAGAATGTGGCATATGTGACAGCCCAGGATTTTCAACAGGATCACATTGCTATACCACCTAAGTGGCACCAGAATCCAAGCACTGCCGAAGCTATGTTGTGAAAACATCTGCTTGTTGTTTTAGTTAAAAAACTTTAACTTTAGTTAAAAAAGTTACTTATTTCAGTCAAAAGCAAGCAAACAAAAAAGGCACCTTGCTAACAACTCATTACACAGAAGGTAGGTGCTCACCATCACCACAGAGAATTTACCTAATCGAGTCATAGGGGCAGGGAAGAAAGAAGAATAACTTTTGTCAGGGTTGGATATCTGAGCTGTTACTTGTGCCGCTGATCACAGCTCTCCCAAGAGCTGTAATTAGGAGACAGCGAGGTCAGATATAAAAATTGATGAATTTTGTTTGTAAGGAACAGAAAATGATCCTATAACATACTGCAGCCAAGAATAGCCACAAACTTAAATTGAAAAGCACAGGCTGTTTTAATGCTGTTGTTTTACAGATTTTCTGAGGTGTTTCTAAAAAGTTATTCTGTTTAAAGAACAAGGTCTTCCTTCTCCTGACACTACTCTGAAAAGTACTGCGTCTTCCAGCCCTCTGAATGAGTACTCCACAAACCAACCCAGTTAAACAGAACCGCCATTAACCCACATCATCTATACAGCAGCATTGGCAACTGCTGCAGTGGAACAAGGATGCAAAGTTGTAAAGTATTTCACACTCAGCTCTTGGTATGATCTCAAACAACCACAGCAGCCATTATTCAGAGAAAAAGAAAGTAAGTTTCCTCCGCTGGATTATCATGATCCACAACTCAAGAAAAATGGTTACTGTCTGGCCCATGGAGAGCTGAGTCCATAGACAGAGAACATGAGAAGCCTTAACAAAAATATTCATTGACTAGTACTCTCAGAGAAACCAAGGAAAAACCTGTCAAATGTCGCTGAAGCTCAAGGCCTGGGGCCATCTTCACTATAACTAGGCCACAGATACTTAAGAGCAGATCTGCTAGTCTAAAAGAAATGCTCTCCACCAGGCACACCCAGTTACTGTACATTTCAGATAGCACAGGCTACAATTTATACAACTATTTCTGAAGTGAAGTAACAAAACCTCTCAAAGAATTACATTTGTAATATACCAGCCATGACAAGCAGTTCTATTACTATGACTTCTGTGCTTAGGTTTCCAAACAGGTATTTTGAATAGGGATCATTATATTAGCAGGGAGGCAGAAACAGAGAACTGCAGTCTGCTTTGCCAAAAATTTGGGAGGAAACCAATTAAAAAGCTAGGATGCACGGATATTTCTTGTACTTGTCTCAAGCAGTGCTCAAGACATGCTACCTCCCGGGTGCCATGCTCAGATAGCATTTTCCATCACTGCCCAGCCCATTCCCAGGAGCACTGCACTGAGCATGACTGTGACAAGCTAGCATGAAACTCACCAGTCTGGAAACGGGATTTCAGCACATCTGGTGGAATGGCAACTGCCCAGTTGAAGATCCCAGCCAGGCCCCCAGCAAAGAGGATCCTAGGTGCACTGAGGTCACTCACACTGTGGCAGAATTGGGGTGGGGGTGAGAGGAAAAATTAAAAAAGAAAAAACGTAAAAACTCGTTTGTTTTGACTAGGTGACAATCAAAGAGGCAGCCTGGCTGACAGCCAGAAGACAGCACAAGGCTGCAGACATAGACAGAGTGCAGTATCTGAGCAAGACTTAGAAGATTCAGACCCCTGTGGGCAAAATGTACTAACTCCACCCTAAAGGTTCAAATCTTTTCATTCAGCAGCACACACAAGAATGCTCGGGGGGGTGGTGGTGTAAAAAACAAAAACAAAAAACCCCACAAAAACAAAAAAACCCACCTCACACACAGGGGTGAAAGTGAAGGGACCTACTTTAAGTATTCCTTACGTGGCTAATAAGATCCAAGGCTAGAATCTGAGAGAATCTCAAAGTACTATTTTAATTGTCAGTTAACCCCAGACCAAAACAGCTCAACTCACAAGACAAGCAGACTTTTTTTTTTTTTTTTTTAACATTTGTTTTGATCATACGGCTCTAAATCTCCTCATAACTGGGGAAATTAATCAGCAGTGTCTGGGAAGTCCAGAAAATGATGACTGTAAGATTTCACTAACCTCTTTCCCTCAGGGGTCAGAATGTTCTTCAGCCATTCGTACGTCATGAAGTACATTCCGCTGGCTGGGACGTCTAGTGGGTAAACAACAAAGACTGTGAGTAGTGGGAAATAAAATGAAGCCTAGAGGCAGAGCAGCCCCATGCCAGCTCAGCAACACCACTAAGTACATCCAGATTCCTTTTCTGAACCTGCTCTACAAACAAAATAAAATCTTCTGTTGCTCTAGACAGATGAGCCTGAAGTTTCCCAGGGAGAGCAGGTGCTAAAGGCAAGAACTGGGAAAATATCTGTTTTCAAGCACTTCTGTCAGCAAGCTTTCAAATCATACTGTAAACTGCCTGCTGGCCATTAAGCTAATGATGAGATAGCTCTAAGCTTTCTTAACTGCTGCACAGCACATCAGAACAGTTCAGGAACAGCAAGAGTTTTGCACACTATTTGTTCTAATGATTCTATTTTGGTTTTTTTAATGTACTCCCACAGCCTGTTCTCAGCTCAGGCCTAAACTGGAGAACCAGCCTCGGGCTAGGGACATTGACGGAGGTACATTGCTAGCTGCTACACTTTGATGAGAAGCAGAGGATATAACAAATTCCTAAACTGAGGTATCAAAATACAGAAATTTCTGCTTATCCTTGGAAAACATTGCCCCAGTACAGCAACAATCCAATTGCCTTTCAAAGGAGAAAGTACTGAAATATGTAAAGGATTCAGCATCTGGCACAATTACTTTGTTGTTGTTGTTGTGAGAGGGGTCATGACATCCCAGTCCAAAATAACCCACACTCAAGAGGGCAGAAAGCATAACTGCTGCAATCACATCTTTTAAAGCAGTCAGCATTATATGACAACAGTCATAGACAGTCACAATCCTTGTCCCGGGCGGGGGGAGCGGGGGCAGAGCGGAGAAAGAAAAAGCAGCCCACTTCTGTGTTTTTCTTTTCTCTTTGTGTTCTCTGCTCCTCTCCTGAAGTCTCTCTTGGCTTCTGAGATCTTAATTACTTCCTCCCTCTGATCCCTGCCATCTAACCTCTTCCTCGCTCACTAAGAATCTCATGTTTATTTTAGTCCCTTTGAGGCATTGGAGTAGCTCTGCAGACTGCAAAAAAAGAAAAAAGGGTGACACAGCATGTCCAATTGGCTAAAGGGACAGCAAGATCTATGATACTATGTCAGGCTTGTCATCTTCAAGTACCCCACGTGGAAGAAGCATCAGAACATCTCCATCAGTTACCTCTCATGAGGGTAAGCACCGTCCCCTTGTATACGCCACGAATCCCAGCCTCGCGGTACAGCTGTTTTGCACAGTCCAAAGAGCCACTGTATTTAGTTTCACCTGTAGCTGCCTGGATCTGAAGGATTAAAGTGATAGTTTCTGACTAGTGAAGGTTTCTGGCTGGTGAACAATCATTCAGCTAATAGTCAGGAAGTCACGTGCATGTTTCCAGAGAGGAAAAAGCACGTACTCATTCCACAGGCACTCCTGCATATGACACCTCTGCGTCACTTCCTCAAACAGCTCTCTCATGTTCAAGCTGAGGATATGTTTACTGTTCCATGCAATCACTAGATTCTCCCTTCTTTTTCCACAGTGTAACTTTGAAATGACTGAAGTCAGTTAGGTAATTCTACACTTGCACTGATAAAAAGTAGCCATCCAATAATTTATTGAAATTCAAATAATGTGTATGCATATGAAAGCTTCCATGACAGTATCATGTCTGTCAGAACTAACATGTGACCACCCATCACTATACTAACGGAGCTCAGCATAGTCTGAAATTAGCAGAGAAGGGAAGTGTTGCTTAAGATGGTATTTTCATTTGTTGAGGTTTACATTTTCCAACAATGCTTTAAAAAACCTGGAGGACATGTAGAGCTAACAGTCACCCAAACATTAGAAAACTATTTCAAAAGCATTCATCAGTTAGGTACCGGGAACCCGTCAAGGTAACAGAAAAATCTTTACACTAGAAAGAGTCTTATGATCTGTGAGCTTTGCATTTTTTCAAAAAAAGTTTCCTTCTGAAAAACTGGACTTTTTGATACTTTGAAGTGGACTGAGGCATCCACCGATGCCTCATATAATGCCACACAGTGTAAGGCTTGTGCTCTGTAAAATGAATAGAGCAATGAATGCTGTATGTACTTATACTGTCATGGTGAGTTCGTATAATGCTTCTTCGTGACACAGTTGCATTATATGACAGTTGTTTCAGTCCTGTCAAAAACAGAACAGAGTAAATACACTAACCAAAGAAGTTCCTGGTATGGAAAGACAAGACCCCTAAAATTAAATTCCCATCACCACCATCCAACGCCTTACCTGTAAAAGGCACTTGATTCTCTCTCCCGGAGCCATGATTACTGTTGTGAACACTCCCGACAACATGCCAGCAGCAAACAGCTGAGGATATCTGCCCCGAGGAAACAGAAGAGACCCTAACACAACACAGTACATTGGAAACGAAGGGCTGAAAGACCCCTGTATCTCCAGATTATGCTGTTCTGCACGAGGGTGGCAGTGGAACTAGAAATGCATTCCCTGCTTTTGATAGGTGCAGAAGTGTGTTATCAATGCATAATTAGAGCTAAATATTTAAGGTCTCTAAGACTCAAAGCCCTGGTTCCCACAGCAACCACAACTCAACTCTTCACATCCATTGTATTTGCTAATATTCCCTGTACTTGCATTTTTTGCTACAGCATTCCCCATTGATTTTTATACTCAACAGTCTCTTCTTCCTCCAGTCTTCCACATTTCTCAGTGACCCCAGCTTCCTTCTAGTGCAGTCAAGAGCCTCCTTTCTGTAACCTCTCAGTCCCTCACTCCTTCAGCCTCTGCCATCGTCTAGTCTGTCTTACCAACCTGCCATCGTCCCATACATTCTGCAACTGCTTTCATGTGACAAAGTCTCCATGACAGAAATCCCTTTAACAGACTGAGTTTCTCCATCACAAACTTATTCGTACATCCAACATCCTGCTATATTATCTAGGAATATGACCTAATATCTCAGTTTAATTAAATTCAACACCTCCCACTTCTCTCCATTTTCCCAAGAGGTGGCATTGTGTTCAGGTTTTCCAATTCTTACAACTTTAAATTCCCATTAAATCTGCCAGACCATTCAGACTTCCCTCACCACTCCACATGCACCTCCTGCTCAAACTAAGCTTTGAGTTTTCTAACTCACTTTGGGATTATTCAGCCCCAGAAAAGATAGAACTGGCTCCTCAGGTTTCTCTCCATGTCCTTCCTTCCAAAACTTCCCTTTAACATCAACATGGGGAACCACTGCCATTATGACTGCCTCTAGACTTATAACCATGGTGCTAAGAGTCTGACCTTTCTTTTTGGGCCATATGTCCCAGGCACACTGTGTCTTACTGTGTAAAGTCTGCACCTAAGGTACAGCACAGTTGGGCACAATGATAGTTTCACTATTTATTTGTTGACCTTTGTTCTTTCTCTCCCACGGCTCTGCTTGGGAAAAGTTCTGCATAAAGACTCAAAAGATTACGCTGCCCCTCTCCAGCTTGTTCCTTAAAACTTCCCTTTGGTATGATGCGTATAAAACACAAGGCCTGAGCTGATTTGGCTGCTGGAAGTAAGCCCACAGTCCATTTGTTACCTCGTATTGTCCACTCCTTACTGTTCGCCTGGTCTTACTCTTCAGCCTTGTCTGCATGAGGACACTGCTGTGGTAAACGGGAGGGTAAGCTAGCAATGCCCCAGCATCTCAGCACTGCCTCCCTCTAAGCAACGCGAGCAGAGGCAGCTCGCTCTGTGCCAGAGCAGTGGCTAGTGCTGTAGAGCCAGGTGCACTCATACGACCCGGCAGGCCCGTGCGCAGGCAAGGCTCCAACAGAAACCGCATCTCCCCACCCCGCCATGCTTGGCTCAACACAATGGACTCCTGCTTTCTGACACAGCTCCTATGTATAATAGAATAAATGTTGCTAAGCTACAGTTCTGTTCCTGTAGAGCTATAAATCACAATTCAGCAAAGAAGTTAAGGGAGTATTTTATGGGGACTTTCTTAATGCCTAAGTTAGCTCAGAGAAAGCCACACAAAGTTTTCTTAGCTTGCCATCTCTTTTCCAGAAGGCTGGACATGCCTGACAGGAGGGCTGCTGATGAACACCACTTTTCAGAAATTAATAATAAAATATTTCTATGGCTATTATTATATCCTAACGTAAGGACACAGCAAGAGTCACAACTAACAGGGAAAAGAGAATCAGGACTGTGAATGTTGTCAAGACTGCTTGACCATGAATTTATTTCTCCCATAGTTTCTGTTAATAGCGAGACTGTTGGCAGGCAATCATTTATAACTCACACTGTACTCATCTAAAATAGAATTGTTCCTTAATGGCTCTCTCTTGCGTAGAAAGGGAATTGCATAGCACCTGCCCACATGCTGCCTGTTTTTAGCCTGTGCTATCAGACCCACGCTTCCAGAAGCATTAAAGCACACGAGTGTTTTATTTTTTAACTATATTTATAACCTAGAAGAAGAGACAAATTTACACCACAACTCAATGTGCGACAATACAGCAGGCTGCAGGAGTCTTCCCAATTGTCTGATTAACTCAGAAACTCACGTCAAAACATCATCAGGTTTTCTCTGTTGGAGTCTTTTTCCCAAGCCAAATCCAAAGAAGCACACAGCAAACATGGGTGTCACTCCAATAATAGGAGCTGCCATTCCTCTATATAAGCCTCGGACTCCCTGCAAGAAACATTATCACAAGAATTACTTGGTTTTGCATAGACTTTGCACACATTTCAACCTACTGAGAAGCAAAAGGCTACGATACAGGATACTGCAAGTCAGTCAGTTGAATTAATCAGAGGAATAACAGGATCTACTGTTCATCTGCAATTACACATTTTTAGCTGAGGCACAGGGCCTGTTGCAGAAGAAAGCTATCCTTTCTGGAAAACACAGGCACCACTTACACCCTTCTGCTCCAACGCTGTTCGTCCTGTACTTACATCTCAAGTATGATGAAGTTAAAAGTCACTTGAATAATACTCCTAACAGATTATGTCAAAAGTCTTCTCTCTCAGATACATACAAAAAAGCACACATTCTTTATTATTAAGTCATCAGATGCAGTAGTGTAAAATCCTTACACTGAGCCCGAGAACACTGAATCAAATTCACTCTTTAGATAACAGAAGAGCCAGTGAGACTAACCTGAATTACTTTATTCCCCACACAAACTCAATTTGGAACGAGTTCAAGAGCAAGTTATTTTTTCTTTCCTTCCCTAAATCAAAACTTTTTTACCATACAACTTTACATTCCTGATGTTTCCCTTCATCAGACTACACACATGGAAAAATTCTAATGCAGACCCCAGCAGTAGTATTTATTTCATTTATCTTGCCATTGAACGGAACATTTGCTAATAAAAAGGAGAGTTATCTTTCTAGAAAAAGACTAGATGAACAAATTAAATATTTGCTGGTCTGTCCACCCCTTCCTTCCCCCCCCAAGTAAATCAGTGTATCCCAGTACGTGTCTGTATACCTACAGGCACAACCAACTCCATAATGAACTTGTATCTGGCTGAGAAAGGTGAGACACTCCTGCTCAATCTTCCCATGAGCAGTGGGAAACAAAAGGCCTTGGCAGAGAGGTTTAATAGTTTTCCCTATAGAAACTGATGAGTATTGAGTAGGAGTAGAGAGGCAGCATTACTTTTGAACTTCACATCACAAGGCTATTATTATGGTTTGGCTCTGACGTCTGTGTTTCAGCAGGGGTGTTAAAAACCACAAGGGATTCAGAGCTAGCAAAGCATTTCAGTGCTTTGTGGGAGAGACTAGGGAAGCAAGATTTACTCTGGTTATATAACAACCTTTTAATACCATAATGAAAACAGATTTCAGGTATGAGACAGATCTTTCATTTAACAGAGAGTTACCTAACAAGATCCAGTGCTTTCAAATTAGACTCCATACTAGTAAACAAACAGCTGGGCTTTATAGCCATTGTTTCCAAATGGTAAATAGCTGCTGGTAAAAATTATGAAGCAGCAAAGTCAATTCTATATCACTTAAAGTCTTTAAACCAAGACTGCATGCCTTTCTAAAAACAAAATAGACTACAGTTCAATCACATGATATGGCTGATTCAGGAGTGAAAACTGCTATCCACTGAACTGAGCAAAACTACTATAGTTGACCTTCTGTTATCAAAAAAAAAAAAAAAAGAAAGAAAAATCTATTAACTCAAACTAACACTCCTCTGCCTTCTTATAGATGGCATAATACGTTACAGAAGAAAGTAAAAGTACTGCTTGTATCAACAAAAGTCATTGCCTATTTTAGAACTTCAAGAGACAAATACCAAAGACAGCAAGATTCCACCAACTACAACAACAAAGCCAGCAAACAACTGCCAATATTCACTCCAGTCTTTAACGTCAGATATTAATAGCACGCTATTTTCAACTAAAAGCATTTCCTAACAAAACCTGGAGCACATGGATGCTAAGTATTCCCCAAGTTTTGCAAAAATTTTAGTTAGAATCGATTCAACTGATAACCAAAGAATTGTATCGCCTCCAAGGGACAACATTCCCACACAATTCCGTTCCTGCAACGTACAGGAACAACTGATATTTTTGGCAGGCATCGCAGACGACACGCTAACACAGTACCTCTCCAACAAGAGTCTTTCTGAAGCAGTCAAAGGTCCCAGAATAGAGCGGAGGCTGACCAGGCTGCGGCTTAGGCTGGGTTTGCAGTCTGACCTGGTAGAGGATAGGAAAACATCCTTTATTAAGTATCAACTGTCTCAACTTTGGTTCAGAGAACAGCTCTATATGACTATTATGGAGTAAGTTTTGTGACTGGACTTTACAATATTGGTAGAGAGTGACATCACTTTAGCCCTTGCAGAAGAGATTAAATTTTAATGTATTTAACTAATTAATCCCTGGGATGATGTCAGAATAATAACCCCACCTGAACACTTGAGCACTAATGCCGTGGCACTGCTCAGCTTCCTCACATACTTAGTGCGTGGGCGTGCTCTCCTTCTGGACCCCGATTTGCTCCACACCCCGGCTACTCCGG